CAGCATCCTAAGAGTATTTTTTAAATAGCACTGTAAAAATGGACATAATATATATTCGGGCCAGATTCTGAGCTCAGTACACTAGTGAAAATTCAGAATGACTGAGATCAGCGTTAGAAATCCAGGAGCTTCTCATTGTAAAATATTTAGTGGCCTTTTCCTAATCATTAGTGACCATATTATTTATTCCTTTTTATATTATGTGAATACCAAGGAGTCCAATTTCTAGGCTCCACTCATATATAACAAAAACATGATTCCTATGGTAAAAGAGCTCCTTCTAGGTCAGAACAGTTATTTTTTTTGTTAAGGTCCATACTCCTGAGTAACACTTTTCACACTATAGTAATAAGTAAATAAAGATTTGGGGGTCTGTTCAAAAGTGTCTTGTTCAGATTTGGCCAGCATGCCACCTGATAAGTGTATGAGACAACATGCATGCCTACAGACACAGAAGGGAGCACACAGTAAGGGTGAGGTGACAATGAGTAGCATAAGTAGCAGTGGTCCCAACATAACTATTGCTTAGCTGCCTATCCCTAAACCACCATGCATCATGCAGAGAGATGGATAAGAACTAGAAAATATCAGTCTTGCTGCAAGTTAGGACTGATGCACATTAACACAATATGCATGGAGAAGCTTGCACTACTTATACTGTGTACCTGAGCTAGTGCTAGTGCAGGAGTGGCAACCTGAGGCTCGCAAGCTGCATTGATGGAACCAGGACAGAACCCAGAACCACTCAGGTCAGCCGCTGTCATGGTCGGGCCGCTGAGAGCCACATGTGCGCTCATGGCCAGCGCCGTTCAGCTCACGACCCCGAGTGCACTGCATCATATCCTGCACATGCAGGCCAGGTCGCACACAGTGTCCCAGCCTGCATGTGCTAGCAGTCAACCGCTGAGTGCAGGCAGCAGCTTCAGCCGCAGCTTTGGGACCCAGGCATAAGGTTGGGGGGAGAGATGCTTGGCTCTGAAGAAGGGGAAGGGAATCAGTGGGGAGAGGGGAGAGAAGGGCGGTGCACATGGCATCCCGGATGTGGCACAGCAGCTCTGGCTCGGGAACCCGAGCATAAGTTTGGGGGGGAGAGGGATTGGGTTACAGCAGGGAGGGGAAGTGTCTGGCTCTAGGGAAGGGAAGGGGGAGAGGAAGGGGAATTGGGCTGCACATGGCGTCCGGGCCAGCTCATGCTCAAAGCCGGCCACTAAGCGCATGTGCCCCAGCACCTGGAGGGAGACGAGTGGTTGTAGAGGCAGCAGCGGCTCCAGGGCCCGAGAATTAGGTTAGAGCGGGGGGAGAGGGATTGGGTTGAGGGTGTGTGCCTGGCTTTGGGGAAGGGAAGGAGAGGGGGATTGGGTTGGAGGGGTGAGTCTGGCTTTGGGGAAGAGGAGGGAACTGGGTTAGAGCAGGCTGCTCTTCCCCTTCCATAACCAGCTGGCGTGCTTCCTGAAATGCTGGGTCTGTTACACCACTGGGGTCTTTTCCCCCTGCTGCCTGCCTGCACAGGAGGTGAGGGGGGAGGGAGTAGGAATCCTGGGACTGCATGCCAGCTCCAACTTCTCAGGAAGCACGCAGCTGTTGTGAGGAGCAGAGGAAGAGCATGTGCTTCCTGAGAAGTTGGAGCTGGCATGCAGTTCTGGGACTCCTACATACACACACCCTGTGCAGGCAGGCAGCAGGGGGGAAGGAAATCCCTGGCAGAACAACAGACCGGGCATTTTAGGAAGCACACCAGCTGTTTAGGGGAGGAGAAGAGCAGCCCACGCACTTCCTGAGACCTGGGATCCCCAGGTATTGGCCCCAGCTGTCTTTGTCCCCTCCCCCGACCAGACCCTCCCCCCAAGAGTACCCTGCTCCAGTATCCTGTCTCCTGCCCCCAACAGCACAGTTGGGGCCACATTAGTGAGGCTTGGGGGGGTTGGAGGGTTTGTTTTTTGTATCTCACTTGTGTGACCCAGTGACCCCTGACTCAAAACAGATTCCTTGCCCCATTCATAAATAAAGACAAAGCTGAAACATTTTGCGTTTGACACAATATTTTATTTAAAAATGAATCCTGGCCAACAAGCCCTCATCTGGCCACAGCATCATAACAGTCCTGCACCTCCACTCCCCTGACCCTAAACCTGAGCCTATCATACACTGGAACCCCCTGTCCTGAGCCTCTCACATCCCCAAACTCCTGCACCCCCACATCCCCAGTCTTCTGCCACAACACTCCTGCACCTTCACACACTGCAAATCTGTGTCCTGAGTCCATCATACTCCCAGCCTCCCTGCCCTGAGCCCCTCATGCACCCCAGCCCAAACTCCTCTACCCTCACAGCTACAAGCCTGCGACTTGTTCAGCATCCCAACCCTCCACCTGACCCCAACACTCTCCAGACTGGAGGCCCCTCCCTGAGCCAGCATCCTCTTCTCTACTTCCTCCTGCACCCAAATTCCCTCCCAGAGCTTGCATCTCTCACCCCTTCCCAGTGCTGTTTTTGTGAGCCACAATAGCAGTGGAGACAGCATGACAAGACAAGACAAAAGAAAAAAAAAGGGGGGGGGGGGGGGAAAAAAAAAAAAAAAAAAAAAAAAAAAAAGGGGGGGGGGGGGGGAGGGGCACGCAAAGACCCAGGGAAAAGTTATTAACCAAAAAACAAACAAGCAAAAAAGCTATGCCCTGAGATGGATGTACCAGCACCTATTTTCCACCAGTGTGGCATAGTTATTTATTTATTGGCTCAACAACTTTGCCTCGGTTCCTCACGCTGTCTCCACTGCTATTGTGGCTCTTCGTCTGGAACAGGTTGGCCACCCCTGGTTTGGATGGTGACCTGGCAGAGGGAATTGGAGTGTGGAAGGGGCAGAGGTGCTAGAGGCAGGCTCTAGCTGGGAGGCACTTACCTAAGCATATCTCGACCAACAGCATGCCCAAGGCAGGCTGTGCGCCCTGCCTGTTGCACCCTCACATCACTTAGAGCTGCAGGCTGCTCCCTCCATGTGGCTTTCAGCTCCGGGGGGGAGGAGGGGGAAGCTAGCGCTGCCCCCAATCACCCAGGCTAATCTCTCAGCTCCTATTGGAGGAGCCGAGAATTGGGCTAGGAGAGGGGAGATCACACAGTGATTCTTCCTCCTTGCAGAGAAGAGAGCCACACGGACTGTGCTTTAAACTGTGGCAGATGCACACCTGAGGGTCCCAGCAGGGTGGTCTGCGGGCTGGATCCGGCCCCCCAGGACGTATTTTGCCCCGCTCTGCTCTTAATCAAGGCACGTTTAATTATTTGCTACAAGGTATTGATTTGAAATTTTGAAATGTGGGGAATCAAAGCTAAATATATTAAATTTAAGTAAAATGAGGTTTAAAAACAACGGTTAGAATTATAAAATACTATAATCAATCTCCTTATAATACAAAAATATTACATTTTTATTAAAGAAATTGTCAACTCTGCTGTTTCAAAACCCAGTACAGGTTAAACCTCTCTAGTCCAGCACCCTCAGAACCTGACTGGTGCTGAACCAGAGAATTTGCCGAACCACAGGAGGTCAATATCGTCCAACCCTTCCACTGCTTACTGGGCTCTTAGAAGACATTTGGAGGTAAATTAGAGCTAAATAACATCATAGAATACTAAAAGCCAGGACTGGTGGCTGTAAACAAACTTTATAGGACCGTGGGAAACTTGGCCACACTCATGATAAGTGGACATCCAGTTAACTAAAATTATGCTGGACCATGGATGTTGCCAGACCAGAGCGCGCTGGACGAGAGAGGTTTTTGCTGGAAACATCAGCTGCTCTGTCACACAAAGTCCTTACAACTGCACATCTGACTCTCTCCATTCCACTTCTAATTATATTAATGTGTTTATAATCACCCTGATATACTCAAATAATATTGAAATATATTAAATGGAAAGCAGAGGGGCAGTGAATATACATTTGATAACTGATCATGTAGTGGAGAGGGATATTGTATGCATTTCTAACATAAATAGATATTGTAAGATTGGACATCATTGTACACAAGCAGGCTAGCCTAATCTGGCAGTGCAGCCTCTTCCCATAACTGACTGCCTTTTCGCCTTAGTCCTCTTCTGTTTCTCTCTCTCTCAACAGTGAATTGGAGCAAGGTTGAAGGGGGTCAACACAGGATTTACTGAGAGAAGTTCTCTGGTCCGCATTACGCACAGGTGGTCGGAGTAGGGCCAGGTCAACCCACAGGCCTGAAATCCATATCCCTGAGCAATGTAACTATACTGACCTAATTCCCCATGGAGCCAGCACTATGTTGACAAGAGATCTTCTCCTGTAGACCTAGCTACTCTTGGAGAGGTGGATTATCCATGCCAACAGCACATGCTTTTTCTTCAGAAAAGTAGCATCTTCACTAAAGTTCTGTCTCTCAATCTGCGAACGATTAAATTCAAGTCAGGGAATTGCCTAGTAAACAGCCACAGCATTGATCTTCTGGGAAGTGAAGATGTGGCCTCAAAGGTGATCCCATGTTTCTGAGAAGGAAAAAGGTTCCTTTCACACTCAAAACATGTAAATGGTATCACAAGCTTTTGTGGGCACAGCTCACTCTTCAGATGACAGGAGTTTTGAGTTTAGGATGTGCAGACCCAAAATAAACAGGGGGGAAGGCAAAGGGAGGAAGGAAAAAAAGAAGGGGGGCAGGAAACAAGGAGCATAGGTTATGAAAATATCAAAGGGAAAAATAAGTAGACAGAGCTGGTGCTATAAGCACCTAAAGATTGTATAGTTAAAAGAAGCAGATAAGGATCATAGGATAGCAATTAGATAGCACACAGAATAAAAAGTACACAGTGCTCACTTTATTTTTTTATTACAAGTATTTGTTTGCAATGTCATCTGAAAGTGAGAACAGGCATTCTTATGGCAATGGGATAGCTGGTGTTGCAAGATATGTATGTGCCAGATATGCTAAGATTCACATGCCCCTTCATGGTTCAACCACTCTTCCAGAAGACATGCATCCATGCTGATAATGGGTTCTGCTAGATACCAATAGTGAGCATTGCAGACCGATGCATGTTCATTTTCACCATCTGAATCAGATGCTACCATCAGAAGGCTGATTTTCCTTTTTGGTGGTTTGGATCCTGTACTTGCTGCATCAGACTGTTGTGCTTTTAAGACTTCTGGAAGCCTTCTCCATTCTTCTTCCCTCTCAGATTTTGGAAGGCACTTTAGATTCTTAAACCTGGGGTCCAGTGCTACAGCTATCTTTAGAAATTCCACATTTCTACCTTCTTTGCATTTTATCAAATCATGTGCTGGGTTATCATCTGAGATTGCTATAACATGAAATATATGGCAGAATACAAGTAACAGCAAGAAACATACAACTTGCCTGCAAGGAGTACAATCACAGCTTTAATTAACCCATTATTATTTAACAAGTGTCATTAGCATGGAAGCATGCCATCTGGAATGGGGGCCGAAGCATGAAGAGCCACGTGAATGTTTAGCATATCTGGCATGTAAATCCCTTGCAATGCCAGCTACAGAAGTGCCATGTCAATGCCTGTTCTCACTTTCAGGTGATATTGTAAATAAGAAATGGGCAGCATTATTTCCCATAAATGTAAGCAAACTAATTTCTCTTAGCAATTGGCTGAACAAGAAATAGGACTGAGTGGACTTGCCCATAACAGAAGAATAGGGATCACCAAATGAAATTAATAGGCAAAAGATTTAAAATTAATAAAGGGAAGTATTTCTTCACACAGCACATAATCTGTGGAACTCCCTGCCAGGGGAAGTTGTAAAGGCCAAGACTATAACAGGTTTTTAAAAAAGAACTAGATACATTTATGAAGCATAGGTCCCTCAATAGCTATTAGCCAGGATGGGCTGGGATGGTGTCCCTAGCCTCTATTTGTCAGGATTGGGAATAGATAACCTGGGATGGATCATTTGATGATTACCTGTTCTGTTCACTGCATTGGCCACTGTCTGAAGATAGGATACTGGGCTTGCTGGTCCTTTGGTCTGATGCAATATGGCTGTTGTGTTATTCTGACTTGTAGGTACTAAACAACTTGCGTTGTTTTGTTTTTAAATGTAGTCATGTAACAAAAAAAATTAGCATTTTTAAATTGCACTTTCACAATAGAGATTGTACTACACTACCTGTATGAGGTGAACTGAAAAATACTATTTATTTTGCTTATTGTTTCTATACTACAAATATTTGTAATAAAAACAACATAAAGGGAGCACTGTATGCTTTTTATTATGTATTGTAATTGAAATCAATATATTTGAAAATTTAGAAAAGTATCCAGAAATATTGAATACATTTCAGTTGGTATTTATAATTGTAATAAACTACAATTAGTCACAAGACATTTTAAATCATGATTAATTCTGAGTTAATCATTTGAGTTAACTGCAATTAATTGACAGCCTGAAATAAAAGATGGGGACATTAGAAATGTACAGCCATGGGCATTTCTGTTACTACTCGACTATTTTCCCTGTTGATGTAACAGACCACAAAGAAACCCATATTACCTGATACAGTACACTGAAAGCAAAACAGTGGCTGATGCTATTAGATCAGTGGTTCCCAATCAGTAGATTGGGATCTACTGGTAGATCATGGAGCCTCTGATAGGGGATCCTGACTGGTTTGGCCAGAAAGCTATCAAGCACTGGCACTTCAGTAGCCCCTCCACCCACTGTCATGCTGCTCCTGCCCTCTGCCTTGTAGCTGCTGCCCTGGGAGTCTCCTGCTTGCTGTGCAGGGTGTGAGAAGGAGGGGACACGGATTTCAGGGTGTCCCTTGTCCACCACTCCTATACCCCATCTCCACACAGAGAGAAGGGGATGGAGGGAGCTTGGCAAAGCAAATCTCACACAGTGTGTGTGTGTCTGTCATTCTCACAAACACACACTATCCTTCACTCTCATCTCCTGACCCAACACATACATGGGTTGTTGTTACTTCTTTTACTGCTTGCAAAGTGGGTTATTTTGGGTTTTGACTGGTCTGTGCATTTAATAATTTTCATTTCTCTCTTACACTTACATTTAATTCTTTGAGTTGTGAGCTCTAACAAGCCTAACCTGAGGTGGCTGGAGTAATTATCCCCATGGTAATTGCTGCTCCTGGAAGTGGCTGGTATGTCTCTGCAGTCCCTGAGAAAGGCAGAGCAGGGAGTCTCCATATACTGTCCTTGCCACCAGACACCACTCTGCAGCTCCCATTGATCAGTAATGGGGAACTGTGGCCAGCAGAAGCTGTGGGCTCAATGCCTGTAGATGAGGGGCAGCGCATGGAGCCACGGAGCTATTGCTGTACATGTCAGCTGCTTTCAGGAGTGGTACAGGGCCAGGGCAGGAGTAAGCCTGTCTTAACCCCACTGCTCCACCACCTGGAAAATGTCTCAATTAAACACGCCACAGCCTGCTTCCTGAGCCCCTGTCCTGGCCCTGAACCTCCTCCTGCCCCCAACCTTCTGCCCCAGACATGAGTCCCTCAGCACCCAAACTCCTTCCCAGAGCTTGCACCCTGAAACCCCTCGTGGACGCCAATCCCCCACCCTGGGCTAAGCCCAGAGCCCCTCCCATACTCCAAACCTGTTGGCCCAAGACCAGAACCTGCACCCCAACCCCTTACCCCAGCCTGGTGAAAGTGAGTGAGGATGGGAGAGGAAGGGTGATGGAATGAGCAGGGGGAGGCATCAGAGAAGGGGTGGAGCAGGGGCAGGACCTCAAAGAAAGGGTGGGTAGGAAGCAGGACAAGGGTATTTGGGTCCGAGGTAGATCTTACATTGCACTTAAATTGAAAATATTGATATTGTGGTTAAAAAGACTAGAGACTACTGTATTAGATACTAGGGATGTTAGCTATAATGTAATTGAATAGTCACGTCACTGCATGAAAACTTAGCAGTTACACGACTATTCGACAGTCCTCAGAGTGGGGCCAACAGCCAGTGCACTCACAGCTCCACTCCAGGGAGCCCCCTTACACTCCACACTGTTGCCTCTGTATCAGAGGCAGCAGCGCAGGGTGGCAGGCGGGAGCCAGACCGCAAGGGGAGCCAGTTTAAAAAAACAGCTCCCTGTGTAGACCAGCTGTCTGCTGCCCTGCGCTGACGGGGGTCTGAGTTCCACATGGACAACAGTTTCTCTGTGGACAGCTCGGAATCCCCGTGGACAGGGGCTGCTGCCGCAAAGCAGTTTTGGGTCCGCTGTGAACAGAGGTTGCTTTGCAGCCATTTCCCCTGCCGCATGCACTGCTGCAGCAGGGCAGGTGGTATAGGGAGGTTTGCAGTGCTGGCACATGCGGGTAGCTGGCTTGGAAGCTCCAGCCTACCCCCTCACCCTATCTATCCGAGGCAGCAGCATGGGAGTGGAGGGGGCAGGTGGATCCAATGCTCATAGGAAGCTGGCTTTTAAGCCAGTTCCTCACAGGCACCTGCTCCTGCTCCCCTCCCCACTTACTGCCTTGATCCAGAGGCAGTGGGGCGGGGGGATGTGTGTAGCCTAGGCTGATCCGTTAATCATGTAGTCGTCTACACTACGACATCCCTAATAGATACTGGAATTCTGCTGCACTTCCATTTTCTTCCTTAAGTAATGAGAACTAGGTGGCCTTACTGACATTAACTGCTGGGCGAATATATGTTGGCTTTTTGACAATCCATACTGCTGTGCTGCATCTGCTCTTAATGAAGTTACACTGATTTGTAACCAGCCTCCTGAGAGTCACTATCTAGGTCCTTAGACAACAGAGACGTGGGAGTAAAGACAGAGCAGCATGTGCCACTGAAGTTTCTCAATAAGTTATCTACATCAACTAAAAGATGTTAAAGAATTATTGTTCTTGGCCAGGCATTCTGTACTAAGTTAGTCACAAAAATTTTTTAAAAAAATCTGTGCACAGACCGAACAACCTCTGTGAAAATCTTAATGATTTTATGCATGTGTTTTAATAATAATTTCCACTAGCGAGAACAGGTGGGAGAGAGGCAAAGCTGAGTGCTGAAGCACATGATTAGAAGTAACAGACTAATCTTAGGCCTGATGCAGCATACCTCAGTGACCATGGACAAATTACATCACCTCTTTTCCTCAGTAGTCTGTCTTACCTATAAAATAAGAGGCCTATCCCATTTACAGAGGCCATTTCACCATTAATGTATGTAGAATGCTTTGAAAATACAAAACAGCATAAACTGTATAGTAAATAACACCTCCACTGCAGAACGTGTATTACTAGACATTCTAGAACCTTCCTACGCTAGAAGAAGCAGACTAAATACATTCCAAAAGTTATGGAGTTTACTTAACCAAATGAATCTTTAAAACCACCATCAAATTACGCATGTTCATAACCATACCACTAAGAAATCCTTAATAGCATTACCAGCCACTGTAACATGAATGCATTAAGCATCTCACAAACAAAAAGCTTTCATGTATAA